AATAGATACCAACTATTGAAAAAAAGACCTCAAACCCCCTGGACTTCCTGTTTTCCAGTCTTACGCCTATACACTCGCCCCCAACGCCCTTGATTTGCATCATCCTACAAGAGCGGAGCGAAAAGGGTTCTCCATGAGATGGGAAATGAAAACTATTAGCCCCACACGAAGCCTGAGGACTTTTTTGGATTGTTATCATCGTTGGAAAATTTTCTTGCTTGCCGATCAGAAAAGGTTCAATCAATTTTGGCCATATTCAGTTTTTCTTTTCTCTAGTTGCTTTTTGACCTACGTGTTCTCTGCCATACTTATTTTCTATAGAAAATAATTCCCATACTTTGAGACTTTGAGTGTTGGTTCAAGCTAGTGTTCCTTGTCGTTGATTTTCTTTTTGCACATCCATTCTGAGTTGTGGTAGGTGAAGAAATCTATTGATAATGTTGTTCATTGGTCACATCCACAACTCAGAATGGTGTTCCTTGTCGTTGATTTTCTTTGAAACATTGCTATATTATTATTGCAAATCAAGAAATCTATTGATAATGCTGTTCATTGGTCAATATGTGAAAGACCACTTAGAATATATAGAATTTCTCTATTTGGGAAAGGGAATTATTTCTAGTAACCACGAAAGTTTTATAGTCCTAAGAAAAATGATCAGTCTCCTCAAGCAAATTTCATAAATTATAAAAAGTACTAAGTTTTGCTACCATTTTGTGCTAATATCAACGTGCAACAAGCACAACCAGAGAAGATGGATATTATGAGCTTTTTCGCTGGGCTTAATTCACAGATTTTGTAGAGTGCTGACATATCCTCTTTACCAAAGTCCTTTGCACAATACTAGTGATTCTATGAACATGTCTTCCCTTCAAGTGCCCCGTCTCGGATGCAATAGTGGACCCAAACCAGCAAGGTCTTCTAAAAGAATTACAACATAGGAACCAATATTGGCAATCAAGATAAAAGGGGAGTTGAGTGTTATTATTGTCACAAGAAAGGTTATAATAAAACAATTGATGGAAAAACTCTCAACTCGTGATTTGATTGAAGGGACTTGATTTGATCCCTTGCTTGTTAGTATAGCATGTGCATATATTCATGTCTATTGCTGTATTCATAATAGACAGATATCAATGAACTCTCAATTCGCAAAATAGATTGAAAAGAAGTAGCATATTTGTAAACAGTCGGAAATCAAATGAATGTATGACACACAGGGCAACAGCTTACTTGGATCATTTGTCAAGCGACTAAGCACCCCAAATTCTAATGTCAGAGTACCACCACCAGCTGTTGATGTTATCTAAATAAACCAAAATTGCAATGTTAAAATTTACTATAAAATTTTCAAAAGATAACAGAACTTGAGAAACAACAAAACCATAAAAAGCAAAGGTCTGTTAGTTTTAAATTTAAATGAGAAAGAGTGTTTGGGAAGACACAACATCGTTTTAAAAGTTCTGTTTGGTGATTCTTTTATTACAAAAAGATTTATGTTATATGTGGTATTGTTGGAAGACCAATAAATACAACTTCAAGTTGTGACGAAAATAACTGAGCCCTACCTTACTTTCATTTTTGTCAACTCCATGCAAAAGATTAACAGATCCAAATGGGATTCCTGCAGCAGATAGCTTAGAAAGATCATAAAAGAATAATCATTTTGGCATGAACATTTAAAACTACATTGCACTGAATAGACCAATAGGAAATGGTTTTCAAACCCATCCATTCCATTGTTCCCAACAAGAATATTTAATTTAGCGCATCATATGCTGTCTGTCCAAAATACAAGAGCTTTCTGCTCCACAACAAATGAAGTTAAGAAAATATATATTTTTTCGGTTATAGAATTTTACGTTCTACTCACAGGAAAGGTTTAATTGCCCAAAAATAAGGGGAGGAAGATAGCTTATTTGGATATAAAGCATATTTTATGCTTTGTCTCTCCAGGCCCACATGCCCATCCATAGTACCACATAAAAGGGGCTGTTCGGTTGTTTTTCCATTAACTCCTGTATGGATTAATCCGTCTGTGGATAAAATTGTTGTGGATAAAATTGTCTGTATTGATTAACTTAAGTTGTTGTTCGTTTGTTATCCTGAATAAACTGTCTGAATGACAAAAAATGACCATTTTACCCTTATTATCAAGATGTGTTGCATCATTATGTCTACAGACAGTACCACTGAAAAACTAGAACTAGAACCCTGTACACAAGTATTTCATCAAACAACTTATATGCACAAACACATTTCATTCACAGCTCCTGGTCTTGTTACCTAAATAAAATACCAGATGTGTAGAATCGTAGAACAAGTAAATTTAACATAAAAGAACCGCAACAGATTTATATAACATAACTGTCAGATTTACATCACAGATCTAAAGCTTCAACTTTATATCTGATCATCTAAAGCTTCAATTGAACTTGGAGATCTAAAGCTTCAATTGAACTTGGAGATCTAAAGCTTCAATTGAACTCAAAGATTTAAAGCTTTAACAGAACTCAGAGATCTAAAGCGAGATAAGGAGAAAGTTGAAGAAAACCAACGATCAAAAACTGATTTTGATGTTGATTTCAACCCAAGTGGTCATCATCGGAAGGATTCGACCCGTGGAGAAGGCACCAGAGGGAAAATCGAAGGAAAGATCAGCGGCAGGGGGTCGTGACAACAAGGTAGAGGGCCGTGACATGGTTTCCAGGGAGAGCCCTTGGAGAGGAGTGGATGTGTCGGTTTAAGAAGTTTGCAGGGAGGGTGGTTTCATAAAGGGTAGTTTTGGGAAATAAATGGGCTGAATGCATACAAGTGCCTCCAACCAGCTTAGCGAATAAGTTATCAACCAGACCATTAAGTCATAACCGAACAATTCTGTATGGCTTACCAAATAAGCCATAACAGAACAGCCCCTAACTAGGTTCCCTGTAATATTAGTATCATTTTACAAGTTACAACCATAATATCTACATGGTAAGAAAATGCTCTCTATACAAGAAACGAAAAACCAGTGCTACTTGTTTTGCAGCCAACAGCTAATAGCAGCATCCCAGCTTCCTTGTTTCCCCTTGCAACTGCTGTCTAGCAATCCCCAGACAAGGCACAACCACCAATGCTGCTCCAAGGCAGTTGACTGCCCTGTCATACTTGCCCTCCAAAATATCACGGCCTATACCACCCTCGCTGGTGACATTGTGATCACAGGAGATGATACACACGACATAAATGACTTACAGAGTTTTTGAGGGAAAAATCCACATGAAGGATACTAGTGAACCAAAGCATTTTCAGCTGATAAAGGTGTCAATCTCAAGACGATGCAGAAGTAAGTTGTGGATCTCTTCTATCATTGTTAATTACTAAGGTGCAAACCAGTAAAATAACCAATGATTCATAATGTTACATTACAGTTTGAAGATGGGAATCCTCTCAATAATTCAGATAAGTATAGAATTTGTTGGGAATCCAATAATCACTAGGTTGAACATTAGATACTTCACTTGCATGGTTAGCCGATTGCCACTGAGATGTTTATCATATCTTGTAGCATCTAACAAATATTATAGTGACACGTGTTCTTATAGGTCGTTTGGTATGAGTGACAGAACAGGAAAGGATAGGACAAGACTGGACAAAAACTTGTTGTCCCACATCTGGCACGGCATTAGTGTGCGACAACACGAGACTGAGTGGGGGAAAAGTGCATTTTTTTTTGTCCCACCAAAAAATGGTGGAACAAAAATCACTGACATGGACAACAATATTAAATTACTAAACTACTCATGTCAAATAAAACCTAAAACCTTCCACAATTGTTTCACTTGCTTACCTCATTCTCACTCATACAATCGAGTCCCATCCCGTTCTTGAACCAAACACACCCTACAGGGCAAGGGCACTGCAGAGTATAAGACTTCACACACATGAGAAACCTGGCACAACAAATGGCCCCTGATACAACCCTTCAAGGATGACTAATTACCTAGAGGCCTACCACTAGTTTTCGTCTTCGTAGGTGGTAATCTGTTCTAATGGAAGAGAAAGATGGTGGCTTCCACTACTCCAAAGTGGTAGTTTTACGACACTGCGAATGATATTTGTAAGATAATATAGACTAGAGGTTATTACATGCACTAGGAGTCCCACTGAAGATTTTGATGTACCTGTGCTGTGAAAATATACATCCATTCACATTAAAAAATTTTGATCCATGTGTAATGAACATATTAAGGATGGCACATCATTTGGTGCAGAGTATGTGAGTATCCTTACCCAGCTCCATTTCTCCAGGTTGTTTGCATTCAGACTAGTCACCAACTTGCTCACCTCTTGATGAACGCCTTGTGGAAACCCGGATCAATATCATATGTAGCAAGTTGCGTATGACTGATATCTATGCTACAACTTGAGGAGGAATGTTAATATATTAATTACTTATTTTCGATATACAGCCGCGCTACTCTTTGGGGAAGAGGACAGATTTGCGTACATCCCACCCCCTCCAAACTCCACCTCCACCCCCTCCAGACTCCACCTCCGGGTGGGATATACCGTATACATGGCACGTTCGGTTTGGTTTTTATTCAGTATTATTTGTTCATTCCCACGGGATCATCTGATGTATAATATATAAAGGTTCCCAACTCTATAATATTATTAAGTTGTAACCTTGACACTTAGACCTATTAATTCTTAACCATGGGATTCAAATACAAGAATAAATCACCCAACTCTATTTCTATCGAGGTGCTGGAATAGTACCAAATGTCCACTTTGTTGAGGAACTCTATTACCAATTCAAGGTATAAACCATCACAAATCACTATTAACATCTATTCCAAAAAGTAAAAGTTCATTATCAACACTTAATTTAGAGGATATCATTATAATAGATATTACAAAATATAATTAACTAGATGCACATAACTTGACAGGTTGAATAATGTGGCAAAACATAGCTGCATTAATATGCAGCCAACTTGATTTCATTTTCCCTAAAAACAAAGACTACCAAGTGATAGTCTTCAACCTTTTCTTTTACGATGGCTACCACCATTGGTAGTCTTTAGTTTGTTTTCACAAAGAATACTACCTTTGATAGTCTTTGTTTTTTAGTGAAAATGCAATCAAGTAAGCACATCTTAATGCAGCTGTGTCTTTCTCACACCAAATATACAAAAACATTTCTAAAGATGCCTATTTGTTTAGCAAAGGCTGAAAATTATGAGTAAATGTTTTGAAAGTGTACGGTGTTGTAGTTGAGTTTCTATTAAGCGTAAAATAAACGAAGCACAAAAAAGTTTGATGTAGATGTTATAAAGTTACTAAAGACATACTAAAGACGGAAAAGTACACCATATATTTGGTTCAATTATCTTGAGAAAAAACTAGAAGTAAAAAGGGTCATCAAACTTGGAATGGATCAAGTAGTTACTCAGAAGATACTTGGTGCTATCGAAATCAAAAGTTCATTGCAAATTTTGAGATAGAAACTAGGAATAAAGCGAATATTCAGATACAAGTATTGATTGAACTCCCATTCTAAAGCAAATGAAAGAAACAAACCTGTTGGAGTATCAAATGCGGGTAATAATCTACGAGCTAGGTCCTCAGCAAGGTGAAGAAGTTCATCATCATATGATGGAACACGCATACCCTGCAATTGTTTAGTTGAAAAGTATCTAGGTTTAATGAAGGAAAGACATGCTACACTAACAACACTAAAAGGAACTCTAAACAATGCATGACATTATACACACACACACATACACAGATGGGAATTAATGCTTGGGGAATCTCATAATGAATTGTGATTGTGGAAATTGTCATAACATACAGGACATAAGGTTCACTTGATGACCCCATGTGTGGATTAAGGCTTCCAAAAGTACGCCTTTCATGTTGATTCCATGATTACTGTTTTCTCTATATGTGTGTTTCCCCACTCAACATCCTAAAGCTTTACAGATTGCTATCTACACTATGAAGCATCAAATACTTCATTTATCTCTGATGTCTCCTATATAACAAAAAGAACCTTGAGGCAATCATCTCTTTTGGTCCCTTATCGAGTAAAAGCATTTGTCAATTGAACCTTGCGATAATTGGGTATATGATGATCTCCAGCATCTTACTTCATACCTAGGATTCTAAGACATATTCACTTCCCATAGCCCTTCAAGTCAGCATGTCACTCAAGTCAGCAAGGAAATAATCCAAGTCCATCATTGGAAATGTCAATTTCTTTTTCAAGTATTGTGATACACCGCATTACATTAGTCATGTTGAGGTAATGTCAATCCCTAGGATGTGTTGTTGGCACTTCGGAAGGAATGTGTACTTATTTATGTCATATATATAACATCGTTTGATATTGCAAATTATAGGCCTAAAAATCATAGTGTCAAGTGACGATACATTAGTCTTTGCTTAGAAACATTACTACATATATCAAGTTTTTTGAACAAGAAAGTCAATCCATAATACATCTGTGTTGTATAACACTATAGCATTGTACCCTATCTTCCAAATCTATAAAAGGAGAAAGATATGCTAAAACGAGGGAAGAAAATACAGGATGAGAACATGCCACAATACACACATAAAGGGAAGGGGGAAGCAATTATAGTATTGCATCAACAATAATAAGTCAATTTTGACTGCACATGGATCGACAATGATGTCAAGCACAAATGCAAGATGCGTCCTACATTTAGATCCATTTACAACTAGACAAATGCTACATGGCATTGGACACCTTTTTAAGAAAAAGAAGTAACAGAGAAGAATATTTGCATTAAAGGGGCTGCCAACCACAAATCTATCGGAGTAAGCCTTCTATACTACATGACTACAAATGTGAGATTGCATTAAAGGAACTCCCGACCACAAATCTATTGAGTTAAGCATTCTTTTCTACATGACTACAAATGTGATGAATTGTGTAGCTGGCATGCAAGAAGACCAAAGTTTAATCAAATGATCACCCAAAGCAACAATAAGGGTTTCAAAGCTCCTTCAGCTAATCAATCCCTAGTCCGCCTAGACTCTTACCCCCCAAGTCTTCCTAGACTCAAAGCTTATGGCATACTTTGACCTAATTTATTTATTATGAGCTTCCAGCATTTTCAATCAATTTGATCAGGTACATCATCCAATTTAAGCATCGGTTTATTTTAAGATGGTGGAACATATGAAAAGAACTAAAGAGAGAAAACATAGAGTCAGACTATGAGACTATGGTTGAATGCTCAAAAGGATTCCACTTTCTGGAGCTTGAATGGTCTAGTGTGCTAGTCTAGCCAGATGGTGGCTAGTAGTTTACTTTGTATGCTATCACTTAATTTAGTAGTATACATAACTTCTTAGATTTGCAAAGATCCAAGTATTTACATTGTTTAGTCAAAATCTCTCATGTTTTGCTCAGGCCAAACCCCTCCTCCTCACCTTGACCTTGAGCATGCCTTTCTGTAACTTCGTAGGTCACAGTCTCTATAAAATTTTCTTGATGACTTAAACAACTAAAATTCAACACCCACAAATAAGTAATTATATCCTTACCCTTGTTGGGATACTACTCCGTAAACTAAAAATTCTAAGTACTCATAAATAAGAACACCATCACAAATCATGAATTGTCATAAGCAAATTTTGTAGATCAGAGCTTCTCAGTTCCATCCATTTCAAATAAACAGTGAACTAGTAAAGTTACTCTTAGGAGCGGCTTCCAAATCATCTCACATTGATGCAAACCAATCGATTAGGCTTTCTCATACATCATCCATACTTATCAACCTCAAGAAGACCATAATACTGAGATGGACATTCAAGATCAGCTTGCTTTCTCAGGGGTTTCGTGATTATAGAACAATTGGTATCATAGCAAACATAATTGCATCTGAATTGGTTTTGGATCTGTTTTTGAAGCTGATTTCTTGAATTTCAATCAATTTGGAAGTTTTAGGTGTTTTTGATGGATTTCTTGATAATTGTGTTCGAATTGTTGCTCATCGCCCATTGAATATTCAACCGCCGATAAGCATATCCTCATCGCCCATTAAATCTATCTTTGAAATCTCATCGCGAAGTTGAAGTTTCATCGTCCAAGTGATCTATTTGATTAAGTGTTTTCATCGCTCAAATCATCTTCATTACCATGTACACAGAATTGGACTAAAGATCATCTCCCGACGCAATAATTGGTAATGTAGATTCAAGAGTGCAAACGCGATCTGCGACAGCAAACGAGTGTCTTTTTGTTAACTTTCTAAGTGATATAGAGCCTAAGAAGTCATATGAGGCATTGCAAAATCCAGATTGGATTAACGCTATGCAAGATGAACTTCGAGAGTTTGAAAGAAACCAAGTTTGGAGACTTGTACCGAGACCTAAGATAAATCTGTTAATGGTACAAAATGGGTCTTCCGAAACAAGAAAGACGAAATGGGAATTGCTGTGAGAAACAAAGCCCGATTGGTTGCAAAAAGGTACTGTTAACAAGAAGAAATTGATTATAACGAAACCTTTGCTCCAGTCACTCGCATTGAAGCTATCAGAATATTCTTAGCTTATGTTGCTCAAAAGAACTTCAAGATATACCAAATGGATGTGAAATCTGCATTTCTAAATGGTATTCTTCATGAAGAAGTCTATGTGAGTCAGCCATAAGGCTTTGTTGATCCTGAAAAGCCAGATCATGTCTATGTCCTAGACAAGGCGCTTTATGGTTTAAAACAAGCACCTAGGGCATGGTATGACACATTAACCTAATTATTAAAGTCTGGTTTGAAAGGTACAATCGATGCTACGTTATTTTTGAAAAAGCAAGGTAAGCATCTGATCTTGATACAAATTTATGTTGATGACATTATTTTTGGTTCTACAAATCCTAAGTTTTGCAAGAACTTTTCAGACATAATGCAGCCAAATTTCAAATGAGTATGATAGGTCAGTTAAATTTCTTTTTGGTCTTCAAGTAAAATAATTCCCTAAAGGCATATTCATTAATCAATCAAAATATGTAAAAGATATCTTGAAAAAGTTCAATATGTTTGAATGTTCTTAAATAAAGACTCCCATGGCTACTATAACTTTATTAGATGCAGATTTATCTGAAAAATCTGTAGATCAACAAAATTACCGTGCCATGATTGGATCTTTATTGTACTTAATGTCAAGTAGACCAAATAATAATGTTTGCAACGTGTTTTTGTGCAAGATATTAGGCTAACCCTAAAGAGTCGCACCTTGCTGCGGTCAAAAGAATCTTAAGATATCTCAAAGGCACACCAAATTTGGGCCTTTGGTATCCGAAAGATTCTGGTTTTGAACTAACTGCTTTCACAGATTCTGACCATGCAGGTTGTAAGCTGGATAGAAAGAGCACATCAGGATCATGTCAATTCTTAGGTGACAAGCTAGTCAGTTGGACTTCTAAGAAGCATAATTGTGTTTCAACTTCTACTGCGGAGGCTGCATATGTCACGGCAGCTAGTTGTTGTTCACAAGAACTGTGGATGAAGACACAACTACAAGACTATGGATATACATTCAACAAAGTCTCTATCAACTGTGATTCAAAGAGCGCTATTGTTGTAACTGCTAATCGAGTTCAACACTCTTAGACCAAACACATCGGTATCAGGTATCACTTCATCAAAGATAATGTTGAAAAAGGATCAATTGAAATGCACTTTGTATAAACAGATTTCCAGMTTGCTGATATTTTTACAAAACCTCTCGATGAGAAAGGTTTTCATTTTTAGTAAGCAAGCTCGGAATGTTAAACCTGTTTGTATGAAGACTCGATTAATGTGTTGAGGGGGAGTCTAAATCTTTAATGTTCTTATCTATCAAATACTAACCATTTGTATGAGACATTGAGACTGTGAGTTGTATTCTCAAGGGAGAGCACGTCACAATCATTATTCATTCTGATTTGAAACTCAGGTATATCTTTTTAATCTTTATATTTATATGCTTAGAAGAACAACTTCTAGGTATATTAAAATGTTTTCAAATGTTCAAACCTCTTCTCTGAACTAAAAATGATTCTATTATTCTCAGAAGTGTGATTTTTAAATGATTTTCATTTTATTTTTGTCTGTAACGAGTACCATCTCTGATCAGGTATTTCATTGAGTCAATACTTACATATTTTCTCTTCATACATAATTCTAGTACCTGATTCAGTTGTTCTTCAATTTGTTATTATCATGTCTCTAAAATGCAATATTCATTTTCGGTGATAATACGCTCGTTTGTATTCAAATTATTTTTCTGAACATACTGAATAATTCTCCATTGATAAACAATTCATAATTATTTGGATTCTTAATCTGTAAATTTGTTCTTACAGATCTTCTTCATTTCTTCCTACATACACATCTTGATGTTTGAATAACTCCCTGAATATTTTTTTTATTATCATGTGCTTATTTGCAATATCTTTTTGATCAAACTCGTGATCAATTGAGCTTAACTGAATATATTTTCATTGAACTTGAAATGTAATATGTTAGGAGGGACTGAGTGCTTATCAAATAAACCTCTATGGACTATCAGAACCGATAGCCCTACCCAAGAGGACAACCATACTGAGTGAGCTTATATGAAAATGGGTTTGTGTGCTGAGCTGAAAATGTAAAAGAGAGGGGTAGTTGATGTAAGCTGAAAAGAATTAAATGAGAGTTGTGTACAGAATTAAAAGAGCATCAAAATCCTAACCCATCCATTATAATCCGGGCAAACCACATAATCTATTAGTTCTCAATTCTTTCGAGATTAATAGTGAAAAAGGCAAAGCTCAGGCCAACTCTTGTTTAAAAACCCCACCAACTACTCATTTATCTCTCAGAAGATAAGTGTTCCATTAACACTTCGGGCATGCAGCTCATAATCTATCGGTTTTTCATTTGGAGATGACTGATATTGAAAAAGAAGAATATATGTCCCCCCTTCAAGTCTTTTTTATCACAAATCGAGTCTGTTAAATTTGTGTAGTCCACACTGCTTATCAATTTGAGCTTATATTGAAGCATGTGTTGCTTTATCTTTTCTATATTGCACAAATTTTATAGAATATCTGTTATTCTATCTTAACATTCATAGATACGCTTCTTCAAGCTATCAATGATTGAACAGAAGTCCTGGTGAGATGAACGTATATAAAGTCTCATATATAAAGTACATTCGTTGTACTGAATATATCTGTTGTATTCACATCCAATCTTTTTATAAAAGATTGAAAACGGTTTCATAAGTTGAAACAGGAACTTTCCCTAAATTCCTAATATGAAAAGATTAAATAAGCGGATTTGAAAAGATTTGCATAATACTCTATGAATCGACTACATACTTTCCTGAATCATTCATTTCAGTGTATGATGTTTATGCTCCTCATTCATATCATAAGGGGGAGTAGTTATCAAATGAATGAATCATCTCTGAAGATAAGGGGGAGTAAAGAAAATTCAGTGAAGATTATTTTTGATCTATTTTTCTTAAAGGGAGATTAAAAGAAAATTGAAGATGATTACAAAAGAAGATTACAAGTCTAGTTTCTACAATGTTCAAGGGGAGATTGTTTGAAAGTCAGAGAAGATAATTGTTTGTTACAAAGGGGGAGATTGCTTGAAAGCTGAAAAGAAGATTTTGTCAAGTTTAGGGGGAGCTTACTAAATTTTGTAAATGATTAATATTTTGAGGAGATTGTTCAAGTTTGTTCGTTACAAGATTGTAGAAGTTCTAAAGATTTAAAGAATGTCTGAAAGTCATGTTTAGAGAAAGTTTTTCGAAGGGGGAGATTGCAAAAGCTTTGAAAGATCAAATCTATTTGAATCTGTCAAAATCAAGGTTTCTAAATGAATTCTGAAGATTGTTGCTGTTAAAGCTAAAGCTTAAAGATCTGAAGAATTTGTTGTTTTTGGACTAGAATCCTAAGGGGAAGATTGTTGAGTCTATAAAAAATGTATTCAAGTCCATGAGCTTAAAGTGTTTTACATTGTTTTATAGTGTAGCCTTAATGCTTTGTAGTTAGAGTTTGTTCCTTGTAATTGGTAGGTATAAATTGGTTGTTAGTTTTGTTAGTTAAAAGGAGTTGAGAACGGTTGTTAACAGTTTGACATATTTTGTATACCTGAGATTGAGAGAGGGTTCAAGAACATACTGTATCTACTTTGAATATCAATATACATGCCGACATACTTGAATCAATCTGTGTTCTTGATCTTATGTTGAATTGATGTTATAGAATTGAATCTGGGCTAACAAAACACTACCCTATTTACTAGCATTGGTTTTATCCACATGGTAAATCACCTTAAATATATAATCTCTCCTTAAACATGCATACAACTTGTAGATGCAGAAAAGAGAAACTGGGAAGAGAGAGAAGAGGTGGCATAGTCCATAAGAATGCCCACATCATTTGCTTTTCAATAAGACAATAAACTGTCTGTTAGGCATCATCAGATAGTACAGAGCATTAAAGGTAAACATGGTATTAGAACAAGGCAATGGGAGCAAATACCGTAGAATAATCGCTTGCAATGAGATGAGCAGAAAGCAAACCTCCAAGGATCCGGATTGTAGTTTCAAATAAGGATACTGTTTTGTTCTGAAAATATAATTAGAAAAAACTTAAACTTTCATTTCAACAGCCAAAGAGGTGGCTGAAAGCCTGCCAAATACCTCAGTTCAGGTAACCAAGAAATAATAGCTCTAATAAATATTAGTTAATCAGGATCTCAAACAAAGAACCAGCCTTCACTCTCTGAGTCTAACAATAATATAGTAATTAGTAAAGTCATTGTTAAGGCAATCTTAACATCTGCGAATTCACAAATTGATGCAAGACATAGATTGTTCGGATAATCTTAAGTACAAATAGAAGTTTAAGCCTTGACAAGTTTGTCCAAAGATAAACAATTATGGAATTCCATTTTGAGCATTAATCCAATTCAACTAATTTTACATTAAGTTTATCCAAAACTTTACAGCAACGTTTTATGATCGCTATTAAATCAACTAGCTGATCAAAACTGATTCGCCTAAATTAGTCATAAAGTCTAACTAATCTGACAACAGTGTTGATATTATAGAATTACAATTCTGCATGCTCAACAATAAATCCTGGTCAATAGCAATCATCTTATCCACATATCTGTATGCGCAAAGTTGATCTGCTCTGAGACCATTGGTGGTTGGAGTAAAGAGAAAGGAATATCCAGGTTTATCTCTTCATGTAACTAATAGCATTCGGATCTAAAAAGTGAAAGAGTTTCGCTAAGATACGTAGGAAATAGTAGAGGCCTAGTTAGCCGGAAATAGCTGCCTTAAGTCTCGTTTTCATCCAACCCTTCCTCTTCAGAAAGACAGACATTACACAGCTACATTACACAATGGTCATGATCGCGGAAGGAAACAAACCATAAGCTACTCATTCTAACCAGAAAGCAGAATAAGAAAAAACGGTCACACAAATGAAGCCAAAATGTACTTTACATTGATGATATCTATAGAAAAATGTTTTATTTATCTTTCATGTCAGATAATAAACAATTCACTACAATAGTCAGCAAAATATGGAAAACCTAGTCATTGAAAGTTTTCTTTTACATGGGAGTAAATAATAAAATACCGTTGACTATAAGAGAAAGCATCAAGAAAAAACAGAGTAAGTCCATACTCACAATATCAAATCTAAGATTTTTACTGATCCACTCAACAGAAGAACTGAAGCGCTCTTTGTCACCCAGCAAAGCCAATGTGTCTAAGGAATCAATCTGCACTGGCCGGATCATAGATAACAACATCATGAGTACATTTAATAAAATATTCCAGAGGTGCCATCCTCCTAAAAGAACATCATGAGTACATTTAACTATAAAGTTGGGGGATGAACAAATCAGTCGGAAGGGAGGCCTTACCAATGTTAGAGCATAGCCACCAAGTGTGTCTTCTCCTTCACATGATAGAGGCTTTAACTCATCACGTGGAAAAGCATACTTCATATATCCATCAAATGCATGATAGAACATTCCACTTACCTGCATCACAAGTGAGAATTACTTTGTTGCAGGTTGTTATATTCAAACTGACTCGTCATGAGTAGCTTAATATTCAATTGAAACACCTTAAGAATCCTAGGGCAGTTGTTCTCGAGATAGCAATGGAAAGACAGAAACTGTAAGAATAAGCTAGACCATCTTATTGAAAGGAAACCAAAAAGAAAATTTTCGAAAGGCTTGCAATTTTACATCATTTTATATACTTATCATACAAAAAACACTGTATAATAGACTTTTTTTCCCTGATTTGTACATGAAAAATATCCAAGGACTAGCATATATATGTAAATGCCACTACCAGCCTATACCCAAGATCTATTACTTGATGTTTTGTCAATCATGACTTAGCTCCAATAAGACAGTATCACTAAAAGCTTAACATCAAGATTAAAACAATCAGTGGGTTAACAACTGAACAAATACAGGTTTCAGCAAGTATAGGGTATAACTACCCAGTCACCCATAGGCCATAAAAACTGAAGGATGTCATTGACCCCATCCTCCATAAAATCTGTTTTATATTTTGAATCAAGAAACAATATTAGTTCAGTTGGTTCCATTCCTTTTATCTAGGTGAGCATTGAATTTAGCCCCAATTGATACCATCAAATCTATGCTCCATTCAAACCCCAATTAAACCACTCAGCAAAAACCTGCCGTTCAACAATAAGAGTCCCATGTTGGCCATTTAATACAATTAAACGTATTATTAATCTTAATGAATTTCAGAACATGAACTCGAATTATGAAACAAAGGAGGTATCTTCTACAAAGGTAATTGGGCAACGCCAACTTCTTCCCAATTGTCAATCCGATGTCAAATCAAGAACACGGGATAGAGGAAAACATATGTAATTGGTAATCGTCATCAATCCTTTCAGTTTTAGCTTCTTGAACGCGAACAATAACAAATCGTTAAATAACCACGCATGCATACATATGTGAATAAGAGAAAATCTTACCTCATTTCTTAGCTGCTTTGCTTCCTCAAAAGTAACGCCTTCTGCCAAAATTCTAAAGATCAAACCGTCTGAAATTATTAGTATCAAGGTTATGAACAATGCAATCCGTGGTTTCGCGGGTTCCATGGAATTTATCTCTCACATTCAGGAAAAATATTATGCTGATTAATAGGGTGCGGATTGCGCCGGCTTTTTAAGCAAAACCAAGCTTATAGGTTGTTTTGAGTAAATTACATATATGATTCCTGAACTATTAATAAACTCATACTTAGTCCTTAAACTTTAATGCTGATTGTTCTCAAGTAGAGTTTTTTTTTAAAATGATTTTATCTTCATCAATATTATTGTCAATATGTGATTGTTAAGACAATCACATGTCATACATACATGGTTTTAAGTGACTAATAGTTTTAGATAAGGATAATATCAAGTTAAATAACATATATGAAAAGAGAATAGTCTTTAATAATATTTTTTGACATTTTGGAAATAAAAAGAAGACTCATGAGAAGGATTATAAAGATGGGGTTATAAACGTCTTGAAAATATATAAAAATAAGAGTAAATTGCATTCCTGGTCCTTGTGTTTTATTGGTTTTCCCTACTACGACCCCTTCAACGCATTTATCACACTGCTCACCCTCGTGGTATGTAAAAACGCACACTCGAAGTCCCTCTCCCTAATGAACTATGTTAACCTAGTAAACTCAGAGGGTATTTTTTTGTCCTTTTACCTCTTTTTTGCCCTCTTCCGGTTAAAAATAAAAAAGTAAATATAAATTAATTTTTGTATTATTATTATTATTATATTAAATGTTTTTTTTTAATTTTGTGAACCCCCATCCCCATCTTTCTTCATCCTCAACCTGAACTGATATTGGCCTTTGTGTTCTGTGATGATTCAGAGGATGGAGGGCAAAAGGGAAGAGAGTTCACCGGAGAAGAAAAATGGTGGAGAAGGTGGAGGTGGAGGTGGCGAATTAGGGAGGTTAGTTTGGTTGTCACACGATGGTGCTTCACGAGGACGGGTTACAGATGGGTGCTTCAAGAAGACGATGGTTATGGCTTCCATCTATTACACTCTTCTGCCTTTTCTTTTCTCCATACATAAATTAGTATCAGAGTTGGGAGCTGAATCTCAATTGAATAAATATTGGTTGCGTCTGTATTGTGTTGGGTTTCACCAAAGATGCAAGGCGATGGTCGGAGTTTTGGGAGTTAAATTTGAATCAAACAGATCTGGTTGTGGTTGTGTTGGGTTTCATCTCAATCGAACAAACCCTCATCCACCGCCAAAATCACCCTCATTTTTAATGCAAAACCAACATCACACACTACATCTCCATCTATGTAATCATCGCCCTAAACATGTTCGCTCTCCATCTACAATCTATGATATCCATCTCTATCTCCATCTATGATCAAAACCACCACCACTGTACATATCACCATCACCGAATTCCAACCACACTTATTATTCTCGGGTGAACTTGCACCCTATTCTCCCTCTCTCTTGCCTTCCTCTCTCATCCATCATACTTCTCTATTGTGACCCTCTCCAAAGCTCATCAGTCAACTTACTTTATTTGTGTGAGATAGATAGACATAAAAAATATCAAACAAATGGTGTTAGATTGTGTGATATAGAGAGAGATGGAGAGAGAAGTTGCAGATCTCCATTAAAGTGTTATAGAGAGATAGGAGTGAGAGAGAGTCCGGTAAAGGGTGTTGCATCACTGGCAATATTGGTTTCACTGGCCGGCAGAGAAAAGGGAGGTGGTCGGCATTGATTTCAGGTTGTGAGTTTGTATGTGTGTATATAATATATATAAAATAAATATATGGAATTTTTTACTGTATATTTCTAGGAGAAGACAAAGAAGAGAGTAAATAACAAAAATACCTCCAAACTTAACTGAATTAACGAAAAAAAAAATTATTCCGTTAGAGGGAGGGACTCAGAGCGTGCGTTTTAGCATACCACATGTACTGGGAGTGTAATAAACACATTTTAGGGACCTTAGTCAAACAAACCTCAAACCACAGGGACAGGAATGTAATTTACTCTAAAAATGATGAATCCACTTTGGGTCATACATCATTGCCGATAGGGAGGAAAAAAAGATTTCCAATAATAAAGTTAAATAATAACAACAAATTCGTGATAAGGGATTTTATCTATAGATCAATTTTGAAAAAGTTAATGATGTGTGTTATTTATAATTAGAGAACAAAGAATAATTATCATTAATTTAATTTGGAGTATAATGAATTTACGAAGGTCATGACTTAAGGACTCTTTCGAATCAAGAGAAAATGTCTTATTATAATCAAGGGAAAAATACATCTAATGTTTTGTACCAATTAAGTCATTAATCTTTCATTTATGTCTTATTTTTGTGAGAAGTTATCGAATTACCATTTTACCCCTTTATTGTGAAAATATTTTGTCATTCAAAACATAAAATAGTAACATTTTAGTGGTTGATATATAGAAAAATAAAACCTTCAAATAGGAAGGGAAGGGAAGGGATGGGTGGGAGTAGTTCGTAAGATGAAATGGGAAGGAGAAGTGTGAGACAGTCGAATGGTGGGCGTCATGAGGGGGAAGACGATGGTGTCATCAACGGGGTAGGGTGAGATTATTTAGGGTTGTACAATACAAACTTATCATGCATTATCATACTTTTAAATTCAAAATAAAGGTTTAAGAGATTTACAAAAAAAAGACCCCTAGAATTTCATATAACTTAATTAACTTGTCACAATACTAGGAAAAAAGTTAAAGTTTAATGACTCAAATGGTACCAAACGTTGATTGACCAAGCTTGAAATTTTAAAAGGTTGTTTGTTATTTCATACATTTTGTCGTATTATCAATCACTTCTTTTTGAATATATTCCTAAGTGACAACACATGATTTATATCATTTTGGTGTTTCCTTTAGGTCTACTTAGAAGGTCAATGTTCTTGATGGAACAAAAGTCACCTACTTCTCATGAGTGAAACTTTTTTAACACCATGCTCGTGGATACAAGATCCTCCATTGCGTCGATGACACTTCCTACCACTCCACCATAGACCCAATGTTTGAATCATTGAATGAAATTGATGCTCACGTTCTTCGATTTTTATGCACCCTTTTTGATGACCTTATTCATGCATTGGAACTCAAATCTATGGCCTACAAGGGTTGGACATGTCTCAATAACACCTTTCACAACAACAAGGTTTCACGTGACATCCTCTTGAACATAAATATAAGACCCTAATGCTTAAATCCATGCCCTCCCTCGGTTAGGGCCTCAAAGATGTCGTCGATTAGCGTAGCAACATGGATGGAAGTGTTAATGCACAATGTCTCATCTTGCAATTGGTCCACAACATGCCCTATGGATTTGATATCGCCACAAAATTTATCACGCAAAGCCTCCCAATGTTCGATACCACCTGAAGCATGCTTCAATAGAAACAACAATGATACTTAGCTTACAATGGCTCCCATTCACCTTCTTTATTTATAACATCTCAATTAGGGTCCCCGACAGGGAGCATCCTCCCACATGCAAGGGCAAAACTCATGGTTCCAATGACAATAATCAACATGGAGGTTGGTCTTGACAAGTCTACAACAATGGTGGTCTACCCCTTGGCGGCCAATCCAGCATGTCAAGCCATCAACATCAACAACAATAGGCATCCCCCTTTCAGCCATGGTCGTCTCGTGCCTAAACTAGTGGTTGGTTTCACCTTGGACCTATCTCGTCGGTCGAGTAGCCCAATGGCCATGAACAACCCTCATTCGTTGGTGCTCCTCCATCTTAATTTTTTGGGTAAACCTACTTGACCTCATTCGACACATTTTTTGGTCCTAGAAAGTGGTAACTTACACAGAAAGTGTTTGTAGAGGGGGGAGGGTTGAATACAAACACAACATATTTTCATTTTGTAATTTTTTTGCTCTATAACTTGTATAAAAATAAAGGATTACAGATTTGTTATGGAAGTTAGAAAGGTAAGACCTGTGATCCCAAACAATCTGACTGTGACAAATTTACTAACTGAAAAAGAGGGAAGAAGAAAGTTTGTCTTTTAGATCCGATGAGCTTAGGAAGCTCTTCAGATGTTGAGGCCGAATTTTCTTCAGAAACTCTCACAAGGATTGTTCTTTCGAAAACGAATGAATTGCAATGTATGCCAATGGTGGCTATTTATAGCCATCTTTGCATTTAATGAAGTCTGCCCAGTTTTTTTGCATGTCTTCTTTTGGTTGGTTGATCCATATATCCTATTACACTTCACTTCAACCTTTAAGTTTGATATAGACACTTGTTATCTTATGCCACTTTTTAGTATGTCGAGGAAACAATAAAGAAAATAAAGTACCATTCACATGGTGCTTTTGTACTTGATTAGGTTGACATGATATGTTCTCATACTAAGATATGAAGTAAGTGAGTTGGTGAACCAACCTTGTTGGCCAAATATGTATTTCAAGATTCAACTTGCCAGTAGTAATATTTGTCAAACAACTAATTCACTTCTTACCTTGTATGATCTTCTTTTGGCTAGATGACAAACTAATCTGCTTTAATGACGATATTGACCTTACTTTAACTAGTCTTCGATTTTGCTGAAGGCACTTTGCTCTTGGATCGGTACAGATTGTTATAATTTTTACAAGTAAAAATCCTACGTATGTCTATATCCGAATAAATAAGCTACATATCGAATTTTACCAATTTTGTAGACGCAATGAATTTTCGTCGAATGTAGATGGATAGTTGGTGAATGCTTGAATCTTTTATCCAAAGAATAACTCTATCGGATCAAGATAATACTTATAAGAGATATGCCAACTATGTGACCATTTTCAGTGAAATGATATATCCGAAGAATACAAGGTGGTCGGATGATACCAATGGATAGGAAATTCGATGAGTGAGATAGTGCCAGATATGTATTTAATAAAGGAAAATAAGAATGTTTCTTTTCTAAGTGTTTGGTCAGATGTGTATTAGTATTATATACAAATTCGATGGTTGAGAGTAACAATATCTCCCTGTTTGTTAATTGTACAAATAGATATCAAGAAATAAACATTTAGAAAGAAATGGTACTGAAACTCATAAGTTAAAATATGAATCCGAACTCATAAATACGGTGATTTAT